TTTCCTCATTCACATACCTGCATTAGAGTTGCTCCCCTGAGCCCTTTTTGGGTCTGGGCTTATTGCTGTAATAGAGCAAGCTTTTACACTACAGTTCCTTTGGATGTTCAGAATTGTTATCCTCTTAGAGCTACCTTCTAAATCAAAGGAAGTAGCAGGAAGTGTTCTGATACAGTACCAGAGTACCTGACTAAAAGCAGCTTCAACTGTACCGGTTATTTGTCTCATATAGGAAGTCCAGAGGTTGGACATTACCTCATTGCTTCAGCAGCTTGGCCACCTCAGGACTTTCATTCAGCTTCTCATTGATTCTCTTGCCCTTCCCCTTACGATCACAAGGTGACTGTAGCAGCTCCAAGTTTCAGGTCCCCACTTGACAAGCAAGGTGTAGGGTTTCTTTTTATGCAGCTTTTTATCATGGTGGGAAATCTTTCCCATGAGCCCCCAAGAGACACCCTCTCAGAAGCCATTGGTCCAGAACTGGGTCACGGCATGCCCGAACCTGTCACTGCAGAGGGGAACAGAATTCCCTGCGCCATTCCAGGTGTGCCATAGCTCTCACGTGGACAGAAGCTGGGTCTTACTGGTAGCACAGTGGAAGGAGATATGCCTCTGGGCTAGACATCCATCAGTGTCTGCCAAAATGTCCACCTTAGAGTAAAAAATAGGTTTTAGAAGGTGATGACCCACTTTGTACCCACCGAGACTAAAACAACACAGCCAGGGTTCTTTGTGGCAGCACATCATTGTAGGGGCATTCTCAAAGGCCCCTCCATGTCCGTGCCTCTGCCTGAGTCTCGTGTACATAGCGGGAGAGCTTACTAGCAGGAAGGATGGCATCACTGGAGTCTTGCTGGGTGGTACTTCCAATCTCAGCAAAATACCCCAAAGGGAAAAAAAAGACATTTGTGAGTTTTTTTTCATTTTGAAAAGTAGGCAGTTGCTCACATTATTTTTGTTAACTAGTCTGAAAGTGCTAGAATTGATGTATTGTACTTTTTTTTTGATGTATTATACTTTGAAGGTCAAGGAAGCACTCACCTGCATGTGGTTGACAAATGAAGGGCAATACGTATATATATATTTTTTTTTTTTTTTTGAATTCTTACTACTACCTAAGATGGGCTTTTAAATAAAGACTCCTTCTCTGGATTAGGGGTTTTTGACATATAGACTGAAATTATAACTGCCTTTATATGATTTGGAAAAGAACAGGTCCATCATAGCACCCTGACTAGACCAAACTTCCATTTACCCTGAATCAAATCTTATCCCAAAATGTCTGAGCCAGCTGTCTGATGTGACCCTGACACCTACCCTGACCCACATGCAAGAATCATGTGAGGGATAAAAATAACTCTCCTGTTGTTTGTGGCAGCAGTTGAGAGGGAGCTAGCTCAAAGCTAATTGGACTGTGGAGAAGCATGAAAACGTAAAATGGTTGCAGTGAGCTCTGTCTTGGAGGACCTTTGCCTCTGAGGAATCTTCCTCCTGATCAGCACTATGACTTTAAAGAACTGAAATCCTCTTACTAAAGAGGCACGTCCTCCTAAGAAATTTAGAAACTGGTAAACAAAATAATATTTCTTTACTTTTCACCATAGGCTCATTGGCAGGATCACCTTAGATAGAATTCTCTAAAGTAGATCCCCTAAATATTGGTATAAAACGTAAGACACTGAGACAAATAAAGCTGTTGTTAATTTCTACAACTTGAAGATTAATTAGAAGTGAAAATAAATGCCACTAAAATTTCTTTGTACAGATGGCAGCGTTATTTAAATTACACAAGACTTTATAAGAAGGCATCTGTTTTATTTTTTGAAGATTTTATTTATTTACTAGAGAGAGAGCGTGAGCAGGGTGAAGGGCAGAAGGAGCAGCAGGCTGAGCAGGGAGCCCTGGGGCTCCATGTCATGACCCAAGCCGAAGGCAGATGCTCATCCAACTGAGCCACCCAGGCGCCCCAGAATGCATCTATTTTATATATATATATTTAAGATTATATTTATTTATTTAACAGAGAGAGACACAGCGAGAGAGGGAACACAAGCAGGAGGAGTGAGAGAGGGAGAAGCAGGCTTCTCTGGGATCATGACCTGAGCCAAAGGCAGACGCTTAATGACTGAGCCACCCAGGTGCCCCCAGAATGCATCTATTTTATAAAGAAAAATGCTTTTATGCTTTTCCCAACTGCCTCTGTTAGAGTAAATCATAGGTATATGTTGATGTTGAATGCAGAAAACACCATTATTAAACAAAAGTTTTAAATTATATTGAGCTGTCATAATATTAATTGCGCCCTTAAAAATTGGAGATTGGGGCGCCTGGGTGGCTCAGGCAGTTAAGCATCCAACTCTTGATTTTGGCTCAGGTCGTGATCTCAGGGTCCTGAGATCGAGCCCTGTGTCAGGCTCTGAGCTTAGTGTGGAGTCTGCTTGTCCCTTGTCCCTCTCCTCCTGCCCCCCCCCCCCCCCCCCCCCCATTAGTACACACACTCTCTCTCAAGTAAATAAATAAAATCTTTTTAAAAAAATTGGAGATCATTTTCTTTTCTAAACTTTTGGTTTCTTTAAGGAAAAAAAAATTTAATTGAACAGTTAAAACTGCTAAAGAGAACTTTCTCTACTTTGCCAAAGAGAGATGTGAATGATAGCCTCTATGAACCTCTGTGAATCTCCTTACCTCCCTCCCTCCCCACCAACCTGACAGCCCTGCTCCTAGGCCCTGTCAGTGGGGACCACAGGCTGGAGCACAGGTGCCACATCTCAGGAGTTGATCTGAGTGTTCAGGCTGCCAAGGTCAGAGTACAGAATTGGTTTTCTAGTCCAAGCTGGCCTGCCAGCTCATCCTACTTGTTCAGGCAGCTACATTGGTTAATTCACCAAGTATAATCTAACTAGTCTTAGCTGGCCATGGAGTGCAGTTATTTCTAAAAATGTAGAGAATCAGTTTAGGGGCCTGGCTGGCTCGGTCAGTGGACTGTGTGGCTCTTGATCTTGGGGGTCATGAATTCAAGCCCCACATTGGGTGTAGAGATTACTTAAAAATAAATTCAAAAAAAAATTGTTTAAATACAGAGAATCAGTTGGGGCACCTGGGTGGCTCAGTCATTAAGCATCTGCCTTCAGCTCAGGTCATGATCCCAGGGTCCTGGGATCGAGCCCCACATCAGGCTCCAGGGAGCCTGGTTCTCCCACTCCCCCTCCCCCTGCTTGTGTTCCTTCTCTTGCTGGGTCTCTCTCTGTCAAATAAATAAATAAAATCTTTTAAAAAAATAAATATAGAGAATCGGTTTAAGTAAGAAAAGGTAAACATTTCCATTTGAGTAGACCCAAAAGCCCCATGGGGGAAAGAATGGATGGGAAATGAACAGGCATGTTGGCAAGAGAAAGGAAAAGAATTCTTTGACAGATAATTGCCAAAATTAATTTCAAAATATAGCTCACCTAGGAGTCTAGGCCTATAAATCAACCTTTATTTTAAATATCTCTAAAGAACTTTTAGAGTGCTTACTTTAAAATTGTGTTCATTCTGTACAAACTTAATGAGTACCTGTTGTCTTTAGAAAGTATTTTTGTCTTAATTTTTAGTTTATTACAAATTTAGTTATTACAGATTACATGGTAGTGGTAATAGAAAACAAGTTACAGCATTTCCCAGGCATTTCCAGAAAATCTTCCTTCCCTCACCTCTCCCCACTTCTAGCAGGGACAGATATAAAATATAAAAAGCAAAAGCTAAAAAGACACAGCCTGACCCAAAGCAAGGTGGGTGGCATCTCCATAGATCAAAAACAGGGTAGAACTGCTGAATGTCATGGGAAGGCCGCTGCCTGCCCAGCCTTGGGTGGCTAGTGTTTGGACCCTTGGAGTAGCAGGAGCCCAGGTTCCCAATGGAAAGGATACCAAGGGCTGAGACTTTTAGAAAGATGTGGGCCTAGGTAGGGAGAGGACACAGATGCAGTGCACAATAAGAGATGGAGCCAAACCACCCCCTGTATGGCTCTGCCTGCAGTATTCTCTGTATCACCTTGGAGCAGGAGCCTCACAAGTAAGCCCTTCACCAATTGGAACATGAATTTACTTCAGATGAAATGAATTTTATAGCATGGCCTGACAAGGAACTTAAATATGTTCAAGATGTTCAAAAGTAAATGAAGGAATAACTTTTAATTTAAAAGAACAAAAAATCATGGAAACAAGGCATACATAATGGAAACAGATATGTGAAGAACAGGTAGAAATAAAAAATGTCAAATGACTAGAGATGGGATAGCCCTAGTTTTGGTAGGCTGAAAAGAAAATCAATTGGAATAAACTGAAAAATGTGCCTGTGATTCATCCGAAAGACACAGATCTAAAAAAAAAACACCAAAGGGCCGATGGGAGATACGGAGTATATGCATGAAGTTCTAACCATTTTCTGAAGTTGTCTCTTCCCAGTCACTCTCTGTCCATCACATCATTCTGTGCATCTCTGTCAATACCTGTCACCACGTTTATGTACTTGTTAACATATGCCTTCCTGAGCTGCTTCTACAAGGTGCTGAGCTCTGTTTTGGGCATACTGTATACAGACAGCCAAGAACGAGTCAGATAAGGATGTTGCTTTCTTGGATCTTGTGTTCTAGCCTATTCGTCACTATACCTCTGACACATATTAGGCAGTCAGTGTATTTGTTGAATGAATGAATGAATGAATGAATAAGTGAATGAAGTAATTAATACCTCAAAATATCTTCTGTGTGGCTTCATGGCCTTGATTACCTGCTATGTTTGGCCGGCATTGCAGGAGTGAGAGAGACGGGGAGGAGATGAGAGAAATCCTCCCTCCCCAGAGCACACCCTGCTGTTACCAGTCTGTGACACTCAGGAAATACTGATGTGACCTCCTTAGACCTAGAGTCCTCCTAAGGTGTTCCTCTTGGGTTTTGATTCATAATGAGACCAGAAATATAAACAATATTAATGTGCTAATTTTTCTTCTTCACTTTTTAGGCTGGAGTAAAAGGGACATTGGGAAGATTAGTTGGAATTTTTGAGGTAAGCCTGTTAAAATCTTTGGTGCAATTGGTATCATATTAGTAACCATGTAATATAAATATGTATTTCTTTGTCTTAGTCCTTTCGGGCTGCTATAACAAAACTGAGTGGCTTACAAACAATAGAAATGGATTTCTCACAGTTCTGGGGACTAGGAAGTTCAAGATCAAGGCACCAGCCTATTCCGTGTCTGGTGAGGACCGAATTCCTGGTTCATAGTTACAAGTTTCTCCTGCTAGCCGAAAGTAGCGTGTTTGTACGAAACCTTTTGTAAGTCAAAATGGTAGAAAGTGAAGAAGCAATTAATTTATATGGACATTTTTTTTTTAGCATTTCCAAAACCAAAAAATAACCTCTCAGGCTTTTCTGATACCTCAGAATACATGCTGTTAACGGATGCATAAAATAAGTCAAGCTAAAGCACAGGTGTGCAGAGCCCCAGTTCATGGCTTTGGCGGCTCGATGAGGAAGTGCTGGTGTCGTTCCAGGGGAAGGAGTCTGGCCGGACCACACTCGTTGCGCCACGCGTGCACTGCCTCTGTAATGGATCGCTGCGCCAGAAAGGCTGAATGCTCCTTTTCCTTTCACCTTTTTTTTTTTTTAGAAACGCAAATTCCTCTTAGGATTTCTTTTGGTTAGCAAAAACAGGTACTGATGTAGGTCTTCCGTAAAAGTGAAGTGGCTTACCTAGAACTCTTGAAAAGCAGGGGGTACTTGTAGCTGTTTCTCTCTGTGTTCTCCCATGGCAAAGGGGGATGGCCGCTCACTGGAGCCTCTTATCAGCTGCCAACCCCATTCCCAAGAGTCAGCCCTTCTCAACCTAATCAGCTGCCAGAGGCCCCACCTTTAATACTATCCCACTGGGAGTTAGGATTTCAACATCCGAATTGTGGGGGGCATAAACATTCAGTCCATTGCAGTCCTAATCTGGGGTAGACACCATCTTTGTTTCGCTGAGTTTTCAAAACAAAGCAGCACTGGCAGAGAATAGCTTACTTTCTTTTTTAAAATCCCATAGTCTCCTCCAGACAAATAGAATTATTTGTAAGTACAAGCATTACCTCAGAGATATTGTGGGTGCAGTTCCAGACCACGGCAATAGAGCAAATATTGCAGTAAAGCAAGTCAAATGTTTCTTTGATTTTTGCCAGTGCATATGAAAGTTATATTTATACTGGATTGTAGTCTCTGAATATACACTTACGATGTCTGTATTAATGTCTATGCCTTAATTTAAAAATACTTTATTGCTAAAAAATGCTAACCATCATGAGCTTTTTGCTGGTGGAGGGTATTGCCTCCATGGTGATGGCTGCTGACTGCTCAACGTCATGGTTGCTGAGAATTGGGGTGGCTGTGGCAATTTCTCAAAATAAGAAGTTTGCTGCACCGATTGACTCTCCCTTTCATAAACAGTTTCTCTGTAGCAAACCATGTTGTTTGATAGCATTTTATCCACAGTACAACTTCTTTCAAAATTGGGAGTCCATCCTCTCAAACCCTACCGCTGCTTTATCAACTATGATTATGGAATATTCTAAATCTTCTATTGTCACTTCAACAGTCTTTACAGAATCTTCACCAGGGGTGGACTTCATCTCAAGAAACCACTTTCTGTCCTCATCCGTAAGAAGCAGCTCCTCATCTCTTCAGGTTTTATCAGGAGATTACAGCAATTCAGTCCCATCTTCAGGCTCCATTTCTTTTTCTTTCTTTCTTTCTTTCTTTCTTTCTTTCTTTCTTTCTTTCTTTCTTT